GACAGCTTCCAGGCAGTGAGACTCATTCAAATCTGTTGATACAGTAATCGACCAGGACCAAGCAGTCCAGTACCCTACAGAATTCCTTAATTCTTTGGAGCCCGCTGGAATGCCTCCTTCCACCTCACTCTCAAGATTGCAACTCCTATAATGCTCTTAAGAATCTTGAACCACCAATCCTCTGCAATGGCACAAGACTGGTGGTGAAGAACATGATGCCACATGTACTGAAGCTACAATACACAGGAAAAGCTAAAGGAGAGGACGTTTTTATACCAAGGATACCTCTCATCACCACTGACCTGCCATTTGAGTTCAAGCGACTTCAGTTCCCGGTTAAAGTGAGCTTGCCATGACCATCTACAAAAAGCCAGGACAGTCCCAAAGATGGTTGGCCTAAACCTGGTGTTTCCTTGCTTCTCTCATGGACAGTTCTATGTTGATGCTCCAAAGTGGAACTGGCAAAATCTGTACATACTTGCTGCTAATGGCAAAACCAAAAATGGTCTACCTAATGCACTACAGTGAGACAATGTGGAGCCTCCCGGAGGGTGGCGTCCTACCGTGGCCTAGCGAAAGAGTGCGATCCCCTAGTAACTAATATAAACAGATGTTATAAAGGGGACATTAATATTGTGTTAGACAGACAAACAGACGCACAGACAGACAGACAGACATAAATCCGTATCACCCCATTTTTTTAATTTATAAAGATCAAAAAATATAAATAAAATGTTGACCAATTTCTCTCTTGTATTAATTATTTTTAATCATCAAAGTAGGAAAAGTTTATAATACCTACAAGAGGAAGTTATATAAAAATACTACAACAAAAGGATTTTATCAGTATTTTTATTAGTATTTTTTCTTCAGGCTTAAGTCACCTTCAACAAGCGTGTTTTTAATTTAAATGTCTCAATAACTACACACGCCCCTGCACCCTCCAACACACCTACACACGCCCCTGCACCCCTCCAACACACCTCCACACGCCCCGCACCCTCCAACACACCTACACACGCCCCTGCACCTCCAACACACACCTACACACGCCCTGCACCCCTCCAACACACCCCACACGCCCCTGCACCCTCCAACACACCCACACCGCCCCTGCACCCCTCCAACACACCTACACACGCCCCGCACCCTCCACACCCACACACGCCCTGCACCCCCTCCAACACACCTACACACGCCCTGCACCCTCCAACACACACCTACACACGCCCTGCACCCTCCAACACACCTACACACGCCCCTGCACCCTCCAACACACCCACACACGCCCCTGCACCCTCCCAACACACCTACACACGCCCTGCACCCTCCCAACACACTCTACACACGCCCCTGCACCTCCTCCAACACACCTACACACGCCCTGCACCTCCAACACACCCACACACGCCTCTGCACCCCCTCCAACACACCCCACACTGCCCTGCACCCCTCCAACACACCCACACACGCCCTGCACCTCCAACACACCTACACACGCCCCTGCACTCCTCCAACACACCTACACACACGCCCTGCACCCTCCAACACACCTACACACGCCCTGCACCCCTCCAACACACCTACACACGCCCTGCAATTCTCCAACACACCCACACACGCCCTGCACTCCTCCAACACACCCAAGCACACGCCCCTGCACCCCTCCAACACACCTACACACGCCCCTGCACCCTCCAACACACCTACACACGCCCCTGCACCCTCCAACACACATACACACGCCCTGCACCCCTCCAACACACCCACACACGGCCCCTGCACCCCTCCAACACACCCACACACGCCCCGCACCCTCCAACACACCCACACACGCCCTGCACCCTCCAACACACCCACACGCCCTGCACCCCTCCAACACACCCACACACGCCCCGCACCACCTAAACACACCCACACACGCCCGCACCCTCCAACAACACACCCCACACACGCTCCTGCACCTCCAACACACCCACACACGCCCCTGCACCCCTCCAACACACCTGGCACACACGCCCCTGCACCCTCTACACACGCCCCGCACCCCTCCAACACACCTACACACGCCCCGCACCCCTCCAACACACCTACACACGCCCCGCACCCCTCCAACACACCTACACACGCCCCGCACCCCTCCAACACACCTACACACGCCCCGCACCCCTCCAACACACCTACGCAATGTTGTGTTAAGTGTGTACGAATGTCTGTCCTCAGAGGCCCTCCAATATTTCCACATACTTTCAGATTTTTTTTCCAGTTATTTTCAGAACCGAGTGTTAGTTTTATTTGGGCAACCCTCGGCCGCTGTTATCTGTACGATTTCAATTTCCCTTTCAATTTCAACCCCGATGTTTCAGCCATTTGGAACGTACTAGCCCTGAAAGCTGTGTCGTGGTGTATCGTTCCGCTGAGTAGGTGTGTGGCGTTCTTTTTCCCAGCACTACTTGACGAGACGAAACGAAATTTTTAGGAACATTGATTAACAACTAATGACTCAGAACAGTAATGGCGAGGAAGCTGTTGTTGCTGTTGCTGCTATCTCAACCCGTGAAGAGATTGTTTATACATCATTATTATTAATCTGTGTGTGTGTGTGTGTGTGTGTGTGTGTGTGTGTGTGTGTGTGTGTTCCTTATATGCATATGTGGTAGGGTGGTGCGAGACGCCTACCTAAGGAGATGGTCGTGCACTATTTTCCCCGTCCCTCCACCCTGGCGAAGTCTGTTAACTAATACGTTATAACATCACCTTACTGTCCCTTGAAGACCACTGTTAACGGGACAATTCTGTAGGAATTTACTCACTACCTCCTGACCGTCACTTCTGTCTCATCACCATTTACCACTATCATTCCCTTATTATTCTCCCCAATGCCTTTCTCTCCCTCTGCCCTCCCTCTCGTCTTCCTCCCCCTCCCTTTCACCAGTCTCACCCCACCATCTTCTCACCCTTTCTTATAATCCCCCCCTTCTCCTCCTCCCATCTTCCCTCCCTTCATCTCGCTCCTCTCCCTACCACCTTCCCTCTCTCTTCCCACCCACCTCTCTCCACTCCTCTCTCTCCCACATAAACCAGGGGTGGGTAACAGTCCCTCAGGTGTGTGTTAGAAAGAGACATATTTAAAGGCTCGTTACTGTCGCCCTCACCGCTACATCCTTGACACAAAACTGCAGCACCAGTCACATGTTGCCTCTGACCTGTACCCACACCCCACCTCTCGTCAACTATTCCTACCGTTATGTTAGGTTAGATTTGGGTAGGGTAGGTTAGGTTTGATCTGATTTAGGTTAGGTTTGGTTAGATTAGGTTAGTTTAGGTTAGGTTAGGTTTGGTTAAGTTACAGTAGGTCTGTTTTTTATTTAGGTTAGGTTTGGTTAGTTTATGTTTGGTTAAGTTACAGTAGGTCTGTTTTTTATTTTCGTTAGGTTTACATTGTTAGGTTAGGTAATGTTTGGTTAAGTTTGGATAGGATAGGTTTCGTGGTGAGGTCTGTTTTAGGTTAAGTAAGGTTAAGTTAGATGAGGTCTGCTCTGGTTTGGTTGATTGGTGTAGCCGAATGGATACAACTCTCGCCTCCTGTCCTAAAGGTCTTTACTTCGATCCCAGAGCACCCCTAGTTCACTCGGCTGTGAATGGGTACCTAACATTACAGTTGGGGAAGTGAAGGCTGTCGAGTGCAGTGACGGCCACGCTGCCTCCATGTTGAGTTTTGGTTAGGTTAGGTTAAGGTGGGATAGGTGGGAGGGGAGAGAGGTAGGTGGGAGGGGAGAGAGGTAGGTGGGAGGGGAGAGAGGTAGGTGGGAGGGGAGAGAGGTAGGTGGGAGAGGTAGGTGGGAGGGAGAGAGGTAGGTAGGGGGAGGGGAGAGAGGTAGGTGGGAGGGGAGAGAGAGGTAGGTGGGAGGGGAGAGAGGTAGGTGGGAGGGGAGAGAGGTAGGTGGGAGGGGAGAGAGGTAGGTGGGAGAGGTAGGTTTAGTTTGGTAAGTGAGAAAAATAAACAACTTTGCACATCTGTTCGTGGAAAACCTGTCCTTGTCTGTACGTCTACCGAACCATCATGTATTGTGACGCTCTGTGGTGAGGGCCTAGAGGTGTACTGTACCTTGTGTTTGGCTTGCAATATATACCAGCGTTTCCTATATCTTAGTAGCTTTTAGGAGTTTCTTCATCCAAAACCGAAAGAAAATACCACAGTCACCCTGGGAAAATACAATGTCTCGCCTTAACCCCTTGTGTATGGGTCGCCTCTCAGATGAATAAAAAATCGTCTGGCGTTGGGTAAATAAAATATTCTTAGTGACGTCCCATTAGTTGCTCTTGCTTCGAATATATATATTTTTTTCAATCGGCGTGGAGAATTTTATTTATAATTACATTAAAGTATGTAGAGAAAGTTTTAATAACTAATGAAGATAAAGTTATTATTCATTATCCAAATTAGAAAAACTTTGGTTAGTTTTATGATCCAGTTAATGTGAGACAAATTAGTAATTTTACAATACAAATGAAAGTTTTAAAATCTTTATTATTCAAAAAAATAAAAAATAAATATAGTTACTAAAATCACCATTAGCCAAATAATAATTGCTTTTAATAGTTTTTTTAATTTAATAAGTGAAGCAACTTACGTGAACTTAATATAGTAACAACCATTTTATCCAAAGTTAACTCATTTGATGTTGAATTGGGTAGTTTTGGTTAGATTGAGTTACATTAGATTAGATTAGGTTAGGTTAGGTTAGGTTAGGTTAAGTTAGGTTAGGTTAGGTTAGGTTAGGTTTCGTCTGCTTAGTAGTGACAATTCAGTAATAAAATATATAATTTATCTGAATGGTAATACATATAAGAAATAATAATACTTTTTGTAAAATTAAAATCATCTCATTAACACACACACACGCACACACACTTCTCTCCTTCACTCTCTCACACACACTCACATTCTCACACACACTCAAAACTACACACACACACACACACACTCACTCACTCACCTTTGATGGTAGAGTGTCGTTTATTACAGAGGATGAGGGATGCGACGACCACAGCGACCACGACAAGGGCCACTACCCCGCCTACCAGCAGCAACACCGGCACCGTCTCTGTCAAACACAACAGCGGGTTAGTACACCACACACTCCCTAACACCTGCCTATATATGTATTAAACTGCTGGTTCTATATTTTAATAACACCTAGTTGTATATAACACCTGCATATATATAATAACACCTACATGTATATAATAACACCTAAATATATATAATAACACATTTTATACATAAGAACACCAAGTTAATAATAACCTTTGATAACACTTAATCACTAAATTGTCTTATCTTCAAATAACTTATATTTCTACTTAACATTAACTCTCCCTCCTCGTCACGGTATCAACATCTTAACTTTATAATCAGTGTGAACTTTGCTTGTCCCTGTGCTAACACTTCACTCCTGATTCCAAGTTTAAGATATAATAACAATAAGAGATAACAGACCCAAAAAGAGAGATAACAGACCCAAAAAGAGAGATAACAGACCCAAAAAGAGATACGACCCCAAAAAGGATAACAGACCCCAAGATATAAAACAAACCCCAAAAGATAGCAAACCCTAAAAAAGATAACAAACCCCAAGAGATAACCGACCACAAAGGAGTTAAGACCCTGAGAGATAACATACCTCACGAGAGATAACAGGCCCCAAGAGAAATAACAGACCCCAGAAGAGATAACAGACCCCAAAAGTCATACAGTTATCATCAGAGCTACAATAACACAAGGGAGGCAGACACCACTATACCACAGGGTAAACGCCTGGTTCCTCCACCGTTTCCTTTTCACACTCACTCAAGCTTACGAGAGAAATCACTTTATATTGAAGCTCAACACTAGAAATAAGTGCATGTTTGTCTTGTCTTAGATGTAATTGGTTTAAGTGGTAGGGTACTTAAGTGTAAAAGTAATAAGTACTTCAACAAATAACTATGACTCTCTGGGGCGGTACACAGACCTCGACCCTCCTGCTGCCTTTAAAGATGGAGCAATATCAAGGGCAGTAAACAGTATGTGTGTTCGTTAAACATACAGTAGTGTAAAAATATGCAAATTTACTGTAAACATTAGGATAATATAACCTAATGCCATCTAGTTCACGTTAGTACTTCCGTTTTACTAATTCACCATTGAACAAATTCAGTAAATATATCCCAACAGATTCAACCCCTTAACAATAATAAGTTTCGTCATTTTGATACATCTCTTGTAACTATTGTGGCTTGTTACTACATTTCTACTTGATTAATTTCATAAAATTTGGAATATTGTACTTGAGGATTCCGAACTTTTAAATGACAAAACACGATAAGCATTTCGAAAAACTTTATGATTTTTTTTACACACATTCCCATATTTTTCTGCTTTTATTTTATCAATATATGCGGTAGGTGTAGATTACTGCATATAAAAAATTAAGACCTGACCCAATAAATGTTTGCTGAGTCAAGTGAGTTCCCAGTCTTTATGGGTCTCCGTTTTAATGAGTCCCAGACCCTGATGGACCTCAATGGGATCCAATCTTAATAGTTAGGTTCAGGTTATGTTTGAACCTCTTAGGACTAGGAGCCATTTAGCCTACAGCTATCACTTTACTGTGTACATAAATACTAACACAGTCACATGTGCACCACCTTAATGTGTACTTGTTCCAAACAGTATCTTTATGGTCAAAATCCTTCATCTTTTGTGTCATTGTCGAACACAAAATCGTAAAGGTACTTTCTGAGGTCATTACCATATCTCTCTATGTTAATGAGCCTTATGAATAATTTCTTCCTGTTTTGGTCCGTCTCAGATAAATGCCACTCGGCTCGACTGTATCCCACTGTACACCCTAGGATCTGTCTACGGTCATCACCCTCCAACTATCACTTACTCAACTATGTCATAGTAACAAAGTGTTGACCTGTGACCTTTTGTAATAAGGTCACCAAAGAATTTGATTCATATAAACACCATCAGCGTTTACCTTTCAAATGTCCTCTATATTTTTGTTGTTGTTGTAGGCAGAGTGACCAGCGACGGTGAGTATAGGTTCTCAAACACAGAAGTACAATAAATTCACAAGATCTCTCCCTACTTCCTTCCTTCCTTCTTTTTATCCTGAGTTACTGGGTTCAATTCACGTTCACACTTTCATGTTTTGTTTTTTCTCTCCCCATTTCTAGAAAGTATCGTTTCTCGATTCCCATTATGGTATATACATTCCCATGCAAACGAGGGTGGCCGACACACACACACACACCCCCTACACCTACACCTCCTCCTCTCCAATGGTGACGACGACAATGTTCCCGTCAGCTTGTCCTCGACCCCTCTCCTCTCTTACTTCTCCTCTAACAGTCATTGCAGCAGAGAGTAAAAGCAGCTCACGTCAGATTCAATACAGCAAAAAGCCGGAAAAACACCGCCATCACTTGATAACGACTCCCATTCTCAACTCCCTTTCAACACCTCTCCCTTCCACCCCCTTCCTCCCTCTCCCCCCTTATTGCTCCCTGGTGGATATAAACATTTCAGAACGGTTATAACCCACCTGGTCCTCCCTCTCTCCCTCTCCACCCTTACCTCTCACTGCTACCCCTCAAAACACATTAATTTATTTTTTGTGTCCATGGAACGTTCATATTTCTCTTATTGCTTCTCCTCTTCCATTTTCTCCTCATTTCTCTCATTCCTATTTTATCTTTTTTGGTTCATATTATTATTTTTCTTTACTTTTTAACTTATTTTTTTTAATTTGGTTCTTTTATCCTCCTGTTTTCCGTTCTCTCTCTCTCTCTAATTCCAATTTTCTTCTCTCTCTTCCTTCACTCTACCCTTACCTCTTAATTCTTCCCCCTTTGAAATATCTATTTTTGTTTGTGGGGTTTTCAATATTCTCTTCCCTTCTCCCCTTTCTTCCTCTTTCTCCTCCTCTTCCTATTATTTCTAGTTTGATTCTTCCTCTTACTCCTAGTTCTTTTATATCTTCTATTCTTAGTTCTCTCGTTCTTTCCTTTGTTCTTAGTTATTCTCATATCTCTCCTTCTATTCCTCTTCTTGTAATTCTTAAATTTTCTTCTCCCACACATTCTCATAACTGTTGTCTTCTTCTTCCTCATCTTCTCACCATTCATCATCTACTCTTCCTCTTCCCATCACCTGCTCATCAACTTCCTCTTCCCCTCCTCCTCATCATCTTCCTCTTCCCCCTCATCCCCATCTTCTTCCATCACCTGATCACCCTCCTCCTCCTCCTCCCTGCCCACACTTAACAACTCCCACATCTGGCGTAATGAGAATTAATGATCCTCAGTATAGGGTAGCGGCCATACACCCTAAATGAATCAGAGTTCAATCAGGGGACTAATGCTCCATACATCACTCACATTATGTAACACTCTGGAGCCCAGTGCGTTAGGGGATTTTTCACACGTCCTCCTCAAGGTGTTTAGTTTAGGTGTTCTTCAGTTTTTTGGTTCTCGTCGGGTTTGGGGTTCTGTTCCTTACTTTGAGTTAATTATTGTTACCACCATTCATTTTATATTTCTCTTGGAAGTATTTTATCGATTACGTGTATTCGTCAGCCATTTTGTAAGCCAGTTATCAATAGCTATCGTTGTCCTTCACTTGGGTATCCGTACTCGAGTTGGTGGTTGGGTTTAATGTTAGCATTTGTAAATGTTTTTTTAATGTAGTAAAGTGTACTGATATAAGATGGTATTGTATCTGGTGTTGTTATTGTTGTTATATGATGCTCTATGTCATGTGATGTATTAAGACTAATATGTTAAAAATAGTTGAGACTTGTGTAGATGACGAGCCAAATTAAGTTCCACGCTAAATAGTGGTAGGTTTAGGACCCTCAATCGGGCTGCCGGTGGGTGACAGGCAGGGCCGGGTCTTCCAGGAAGGCAGACATACATTTGTTGAACTTGGGGACCACTTACTCAGGTTTTGGATATCAGTGCTGCTCTAGTGATTACATTAGGTGACCATTGGTTGTGTAATTGTGCTATATATGTGTGTTAAGGTTAGAGCGTGGTGGCTGTAGTTTGTTTGAAGAGATGATCCAGGATCTTTGAATGTTCTATGTCCAGATTATGATGTACTGAACTGTACACGAGTTTAGTTTATATTAAATGATCATTTGTCATGCAAAGTGCCACACTGACATTAGTATTCACAGTAAATTACCTTAATTCATTATGTGTAATGTAACATCTTGAACTGTCAACCCTGAACCTCCTGAAGCAGTCACCGAACCTGCTCCATTTGTTGTTGTTCCTCTACTCCCAGAAACTTAAAAATACTCTTATATTAAGTTAACCAATCCCATGTCCCTATTGTAATAGACCTTTAAGCCATTAACATGTTATATGATATCACAAGACCTTAAACCAAAGGCTGCACTAAATTAATGACGGCCTTATCGAATTTCACCTGAACCCATAAGTATTTTAGTAGCTCTGTGTGCCATTTGGCCCCCTGTGCAACATTGCAATACATGGCATAACAATATATATATATATATATATATATATATATATATATATATATATATATATATATATATATATATATATATATATATATTAATGTGTGTCAGTAAAACCCGCTATAAATTGCCTCCATGGAAGGCAATAATTCTTGGTGATAAAAATAATGTTTTTCTCTGGCGCTCATCAATATCTTTACCAAAGGAACTGTTTTCCATTTCCTTTACAATTAGTTTTATTGCAGAAGCAATTTCAGCCTCGCAGCGGCGGCCAATAAAAATACAAAATCTCATCACATAAACTTGTGAAGTTTAACTACAAAAATAAAGACACAACAAAATGCTCCATTCTCAATTTCACTGCTGTAATGTTGAGGAATTTTGGCGGGAAAAGACGACCAAGTTACAGCTAAATTTACAACTGCTGTACAGGGTGGGAGAAAAATTACGACCTATAGTACAGGGTGAGGGAAAACAAATTACGACTTGACATACGAGTACAGGGTGCAGGTGGAAAACATTACTACCAACACATCTACAGGGTGGTGGAAAACGTTACC